ACTCCCCCACTTAACACCATAGCCGGTACACTCGCCAGAACATGCGGGCTGTTTGGCTCCAAGTTATTTTCCATCAATGGAGAGTCAGGTTCTGCTCGGGAACCACATTTCCGCTTCTTTGGAGAGGCATTGCTTCTCAACACATTCCTTTTCCTTGAGTTCATCCCTTTTAGAGTGTTAGCATTCCCTTTCCTCTTTGTAGTATTTTTAGTTTCTCTCTTTTTGTCTAGTTTGGAGCTAGCAACTTTATTTGAGATCCGCGCACTGCTTCTATTACCACCACCAGCTGGTGGGATAGGTCCAAGACGGTTGGAGAGTTGGTTTAGAGGTTCTGCAGTTCTTGCTGGAGTCCAAGTAGGGTCCGTATCTTCTTCAGGAAAAAACAGCCTGTGTTTTAAGGCAGTTGATGGGCCTGGGGCGTCTTCTTTAAATAGCCTGTTTAGATAAAAGCTTGACTGGTTATCATCTTCAATGGCTTGAATCTGGACCTCCTGTAATCCCCCTGAGCTAAAACCACCAGAACCAAGTGGATGTTCCTGAGATTCAGTTTGAATCCTTTCTAACGCCGGTCTTCTCTCTCTTTGAGAACTTGTACCTTCCCATGTATCACGAGCTAGTCTTGAACTCATAGGTTCCCTAGCATGTCTCGGAGAGGGAGTTTTAGACGTCACAGTATTCTCCTTACGAGGCAGAGCTCCTCCCTGAGAATGAATAGGGGAGAGACGAGATGTGATTCCTCCTGATGTATTAGAGTTCCTAGAGAATTCTCCACATGGGATTCTCTCTCGACGTTCTCTACCACTTTGATATGCAGAATCCCTATGCACAGGGTAAGCTCTGTCATTAAACCTTGTCTGATGTCGAGGGACTTCCCTCCATTGTTCACTCTTTGAGAAGGTATGTTGATGCTCTCCACGGACAGAGTAGTTAGAGCGGTGTGGAGAAGAATATCCCGGATGGACATCTCTTCTCCTCCTTGTGTCCTCTTTCTGATAATGGAATTCCCCCTCTCTTTTAGATTTCCTCCATTCCAATCTCTTCTTGTCCTCCTCGATCTGCTTCAGGGTGTTTTGTTGGGAAATCCCCTCCCGATTCCCAGGGGCATTGGTGGAAGGTTTACTTGCTTGACAAAATTTCTCCTCATGGAAAAGGGATAGGCAGGCAAAACAATGCTTTCCAAGGTTCTCGTATTCTAATTCCACAAAAGTGGTCTCCCCCGATGGTAGAAGTATTGGTAAACGCATCTCGAGTGGAGCAAATCCATTAATTTCCACTCTAATCCTCCCCAAGATCACGTCTTTGTCAAGAGGTTCATCTCTCTCTCTAACGAACCCTATATCTTTCCCAATAGCAATAAGAGCTTCTCGGGTCCAGTAATGGAGCGGAATACCATGGATCCGG